AATCAATTATTCTATTTAAATTATAGTAGTTATAATAAAAAATTATATTTTTAATAATAATTTAATATTTTAAATAATATTATATTGAATTAAACAAAATATTATAATATTTGATAAATATTGTATTATTGAAATATTATATTAAATATATTGTTTGTATATTATATCAATTATTATATAATATATCATATTATTATAATATATTATATTAAATTAATTAATAACATTAAATATAGTTATAATTAATTAGTAATTATAATATAATATATTAAAGTTTAGTATAAATTAAAATAATGTATTACATTATAATTATATACCAAATAATATGCTAAACCATTTAGGTAAATTAATTTAGACTTAATTGATAGATAAATATTATACTTTAATAAGGTGTCACATCATCAATTACCCTACATGAATTGCCAAATCAAAGCTTTAAATTGTCTCATTATCCTAAATTGTCACACTTTACACCAATTAAAATATCCCAAAAGAATAAAATTGTTTCATTGGAACAATTATCCCACTTAGTTCCAACTTATCCCAACCAATAACCGCCCCCTAAGTGTAGGATTTATGTTTCTATGAGTACATATCACCTCTGACTGGCAGAAGATGCGTCCTCGTTAAGCTCGAGTTGTATTTAGATCTTCTGCTTGTGTGGTTATATGTATTTTGAAGTGAAAAAGTTGGAAAGTTATATAATTTTGAGGTTCACAGTGACTTTCATAACTTTTCTTTGTTTGTTGCATCTTTGGAAATGTTGATGTAAATCTTGATGTAGCATTCAAAGCTCTACAAATCCCTCTAGAAAGAGAAGAATTTTTGTGGAAAGTGATTTTTTTCTGAAGCCGGTGGAATCTAAACAAAACACAAGAAACCCTCAATTGGAAAATAATGATGTGGATGTCCACTTTTCATATTGTGTCATAATTTCTCAACTTCCACAAAAAAATACAAACAGACATTGACAAATGCGAAATGGGAAAATAGATTTAAAGAACATAATTAAGAAACTGCTCGAGTATAATTGAATCCCAATGGACGTGGTGTTGTCCATATATCCCAATATTATCAAAATCCAAAATAATGTTTATGAAAAGGAAATAGAAATCGTTCCCCCTTTAAAAAAGGGAGTACTAGAAAAACTTTTATTTTTCAAAATGTCCTTCATCTTTCATGAAATTAACCAATTTACTCTATTATCATAGCTCCAAATCTTATTAAATCACATTAATTTAAGGTTTTTTACTATATGATAACTATTCTTTAGATTATTAAATAAATTAAATCTAAGATAATGACTAAATCAATTATCATAATAGTATTAGATTATCAAGTGTATGATGTTTTAATATAATGTAGGAATTATTATTTATGTAACTAGTTAGATTGCACGTGTAATGCACGTGGTAAAATTTTTAATATTAATTTAAATTATAATTATATTTATGGAAAGATTTGGTATAAATTTAATGAATGTACACAATATATATGAACATAAGCTAAAAATTAAAAATGTTTGAATAATACATTTATATTTAAGGGTCAATTATGCGATAGTAGAGTGGTTCTATCTACAAGGTGATTGATCAATCAAATACAATAACAATAATATACCTAAAAGTAATGTTTGAAGATGTGGATGTAAATCCAAGCAAAATCTTATGACTGTACTTTGTGTTTCCCTTTAGATTGATGAATTATAGCGGTCATGAATTTAACCCTTGGAAATTGACTGATAACAACA